CCCTAGCCTCGGCGGCTAAAAAGTGCAAAGCACTCATGATGTGGAAGGACGGCTGTGTTGAAGGGGCGGGTGGCGCGGCGGTAGTAGTATCCATGGATCAACATCAGTCTCCAGGGATCGATGCCAGAGCCGCCCAGGGTGGGCTGTTACAAGGCAAAGGGGGTGAGCAGCTCAAAGTAAAGATGTAGAAAAAAAAAGTCAAGACGACTAAGAGCCGGGTGGCTCCCTATGTAGCATCGGCTCCACCACCAACAGTCAGTGACAGAAATGCCATGCAACACCTAGCATCTCATCTCTTTCCTTTCTTTTGTTAGCTTTCCATATTGGCTGACATACCCATGCCGAAAAACGGGTCATGGAAGAGTAGACAGTAGCACTCAAAAGTTGCATCTAGCTGCCAACACAGCAGGCGCCCTGCGCGGACGTGAAATCACGCGGGAGCAACGAAAAAGCTGCCAAAAGAGTGAAATATCCGCCCTCGCAAAAAGTAAACCCGTGGCGGGGCTCGAACCCGCGACCTGTAGATGTCATACCCATAGAAGTCTACCGCTCTTCCAATTGAGCTACACAGGCTCAAACATTGAAACAGGGTGGCTCGGAATCAATTTGAGCATACGCACGCCAATGGCGCAAAGACCCGCATCACGTGAGTGTAACCGGAAGTTGTCGAAGCTGGCCGTCGTCGCCAAAGGCAAGCAGGACTCATACTGCCTTGGCTGCGTCCAAGCCAATCTGTACTTTTACTCATTACCGCTCCTTTGTCGGTTCCCTTGCCAACGAGTTGGCACAGGGTTGCCTCTCATTGCATTCCGCGCGGCACGCGAATAGCTTCGCGTGCTGCTGTGTGAGGACGGCATGGACGAGGACCGCCGCCCCGGGCTCCCCAGCCGGGCCGGGCGCAGCGGCGCGGACAGTGTATCGCCAGCGGTACAAGAGGATGGATCGGGTGGCAGCGACAGCGAGGCCTCGCAGAACCTCGGTAGCTTTGATGGCGCGCATTCGCCAGTGCCCATGCGGCGGCTGAGGCACTCGGAGGAGGCGCTCATCGGCCGGCAGCCCCTTAGCAGCAACGGCAGCGAGCAGGACCTGGACATGATCACTGGGTGGCTGTACAACGGCCCGCTGCAACGCGCAAAGTACGAGGACTTTTCGACGATCGACTGGATATACGACAACACAAAGGAGCGGCACTACAAGAGCAATCTCCGGGTGCGCGCGCGCAGCATGGGCAGACTGGGGCGGCTGGAGGTCGCGGCGGACGCGGCCAAACCATGGCTGGTTCTCCTCGCGGTCGGCATGACCATGGGCCTCATTGCAACTTTTGTATCGGTGTCCTCGCAGTGGCTGATTGACATCAAGAACGGGTACTGCCGCACCGGGTTCTACCTGAACCGGCGGTTCTGCTGCTGGAACGCAGACAACGTGTGCCTCGACTGGGTGACGTGGAGCGAGCTGCTGCACGTGCGCTGGCGGTGGCTGGAATGGGTGCTCCAGTACGTCGTGTTCATTTTTGATGCCAACCTGTTTGCTGCCGTCAGCACGTTCCTGGTGACCGAGTACGCGCCGTATGCAGCGGGCCAAGGCATCGCCGAGATCAAGACGATTATGAGCGGCTTTACGATGCGCAGGTTCCTGGGACTGCGGACGCTGTGCATCAAGTGCGTTGGTGTCGTGCTGTCTGTCGCATCGGGGCTGAGCCTGGGCAAGGAGGGTACGATGGTCCACATTGCGTGCTGCTGCAGCAACATTTACACGCGCGTGTTTCGCAGAATCCGGCGCAGCGAGGTGAAGCGGCGCGAGCTGCTCTCGGCCGCGTCGGCGGCGGGGATCTCGGTCGCGTTTGGCGCGCCCATCGCCGGTGTGCTTTTCAGTCTGGAGCAGGTCTCGTACTACTTCCCGGCAAAGGCCATGTGGCGGAGCCTGTTCTGCGCCACTGTGGCCGCGGTGACGCTAAAGCTCCTCAACCCGTTTCGCAACGGCAAGCTGGTGCCGTTCCAGGTCACGTACGACCGCACGTGGGACTTGTTTGAGCTGTGGTTCTTTGTCATCATTGGCGTGATCTGCGGGGTGGTCGGGATGGCGCAGAGCCGGCTGGCGTTGCTGCTGATGGAGTACCGGCAGCGGTCCGTGCTCAAGAACCTCGCGCGCGGCGAGGTGGTTGTGGCTGCGCTTGCCACGGCCATTATCAGCTACCCCAGCGTCTACCTGCGCGCGGACATGGTGACGCTGGTGTCCAACCTCTTTACCGAGTGTACGAACCAGGAGGGCAGCGGGCTGTGCAGCCGCGACGACCGCGCAGGCAACGTTGTCTCGCTGCTGCTGACGGCAGGCGTGCGTGTGCTGCTGACGGCCGTCGCCTGCGGCCTGGCGGTGCCGGCCGGCATGTTCACGCCCTCCATGGCCACGGGCGCCAGCATTGGGCGGGCATTTGGCATGGTCGTCCAGACGCTCTACGAGCAGCACCCGGAGTGGCGCCTGTTCCGCGCGTGCCGGCCCGACGTGCCCTGCATTACACCCGGCGTGTATGCACTGGTGGGCGCGGCGTCGATGCTTGCGTCGACCACGCGGATGACGGTGACGGTGGTGGTGATAATGTTCGAGCTGACCGACGCCGTGATCTACGTCCTGCCCATCATGCTGGCCGTGACGGTGAGCAAGTCCGTCGCCGACGCCTTTGGCAAGGACGGCTACTTTGAGGGCGTCATCAACCTCCACGGCTACCCGTTCCTGTCCAAGGACCAAGAGTACGTGCTGCAGGGGTCGAGCGACGAGCTCATGGTGCGTGCCTCCGAGGTTGCGGTCCTGTCGGCGCATGGCGAGACCCTCCAGAGCGTCGGCGCGATGCTGGACCGGTGCTCGTACAGCGGCTTCCCGATTGTGCGCTCCCGGGCGACGATGGCGCTGGCGGGGTACATCTCGCGCTCGGACTTGTCCATGGTAGCGCAGCGCGCGGCGGCATCGAGCATGTACTCGGGCAGCTCGCCATGCTGCTTCGCGCGGCTTGGCGGCGCTGGTGCTGCCGCCGAGCCGGCACACGCGTCGCATGCGGTCGACTTTCGGCCGTGGGTGGACGCGGCGCCCATCACAATCAGCCACAGCACCGACCTCAACCTGGTGGCCGAGACCTTCCGGCAGCTCGGCGTGCGCTACGTCCTTGTCGCGCACCACGCCGCGCTGCTGGGGATCATCACCAAAAAGGACATTGTGCGCGCAGTGCGCATGCAGGCGCGGAACCGCGACCGGCGCCTGTCGCTGCCCGGCACGCTCGCCTGCAGCCCCGACAACCACTGGCTGGCCAGGCTGCTGCCGCCGGCCCCACAGCGCCTGGGCCGGCCCTTCCAGACCCGCCCATCGGCACCGTCGTCCGAGTCGCAGACCCTCTGAGACGGTCCGCTGATTCCACGCAAAATCAGCCTTTAATCGGGCGGCGCGTCGCGGGAGGCTCGCGCGACGCGTTTCGCGCGATGGAGCGTGAACGCGCAGCGGCCAAGCCGCCCCCCGTCCCGCCGCAGCGCAGCCAACGCATCTCGCACTCCTTCTTGTTAGTAGCTGCGAATCCCGGCGCACGCTGAATTCCGGCTTTTCCCGTCTGTCCGGCGAAATGCATATCAAGCGGGTACGTGTAGCTGGCGCGCAGCAGCCGTGTGGGAGGCCCGGCGGCGAGTGCGCGGCCCGGCACTGACGGCGCTAGCGCGGAATGTGGTGTGGGCGGCGGGCGCCTTGGTGTGTAGATTACGATACAGGGGTTCAAGTCCTACAAGGATGAGACGACGACGGACCCGCTGAGCCCGCACCACAACGTGGTCGTCGGCCGCAATGGCTCGGGTAAGAGCAACTTCTTCGCCGCGGCCCGGTTCGTGCTGAGCGACGCGTACACCAGCCTCTCCCGCGAGGAGCGTCAGGCGCTGCTGCACGAGGGGGCCGGGCCGTCGACCATGTCGGCGTTTGTTGAGGTGGTCTTTGACAACAGCGACAACCGGTTCCCGACCGGCAAGGACGAGACGGTGGTGCGGCGGACGATTGGCCTAAAGAAGGACGACTACTCGCTGGACCGCAAGAGCTCGACCAAGGCCGACATAAGCAGCCTTTTGGAGAGCGCGGGCTTCTCGCGCTCCAACCCCTACTACATTGTGCCCCAGGGCCGGATCACATCTCTGACGCACGCCAAGGACGGCGAGCGGCTGGCGCTGCTCAAGGAGGTGGCCGGCACGCACGTGTACGAGTCGCGGCGTGAGAGCAGTCTCAGGATCGTCGAGGAGACCGAGCGCACGCGCGCAAAGATCGCCGAGGACCTGGTCCTGATCGAGGAGCGGCTTGGCGAGCTGGACTCGGAGAAGGAGGAGCTGGACAAGTACCGCGCCCTGGACCGTGAGCGCCGCTGCATGGAGTATGCAATCTACTCGCTGGAGCAGGAGGACGTGGTCGAGCAGCTCGACGAGATCGAGATCCGCCGCGAGCAGCTGATGGTGGCGGTCAACGCGCGCCAGGAGGCCTGCGGCGAGCTGGAGCAGCAGGCAGGCGGCCTCGAGTCGGAGATCCGCGCTGCAAAGCAGGCGCTGGAAATACTGACCATTGACCGTGAGCAGCTGGCGGGCGAGGGCGAGGATTTGGCCCGCACGCGCGCCCAGGTCGAGTCGGCCATCCAGGATCTGGAGCAGGACCGGTCGCTGGGCCGCGATGGCATCACCGAGCTGCGCCGCTCCGTCGACAGCCTGCGTCGCGACATCCGCAAGCGCGAGGGCGAGCTGGCCAAGGCCGCGGCCGACTACGGAAAGGCCTTTACGGCGGAGACGCGGCTGCGCGAGCAGTTTGAGATTGCCGACCAGCAGCGCAAGTCACTCCTGCAAAAGCAGGGCCGCAGCGGCCGGTTTGACACCAAGAAGGAGCGCGACGCCTGGCTGCGCAGCGAGATTGCGCGGCTCGAGGAGTCTGTGCAGCAGCAGCGCGCGCAGCAGGAGGCGACCGAGCGCGAGCGCTCTGACCTGAGCAGCCGGCTGGCGGCCATTGCGCAGTCGGTGGCTGAGGCGACGGAGCGCGAAGAGGCCGCCGCAAAGGAGGTCAGCGAGGTGCAGGCGCGCGAGGCCCAGCTGAAGGGGGAGAAGGACGCCAAGATCAGCCAGCGCAAGGAGCTCTGGCGCAAGGAGGCGCGGCTTGAGGCGGAGAACAGCGACCTGCGCGACGAGCTCAAGCGGGCCGAGCGGGCGGTGGGCGGCACGGTCGACCGAACGACCAGCGAGGGCCTGCAGGCGCTCCCGGAGATCCAGGAGCGGCTCGGGCTAGACGGGGTGTACGGGCCCCTGTTTGAGCTGTTCCAAGTCGACGACACGTACCGCACCTGCGTCGAGGCGATCGCGGGGGCCAGCCTGTTCCATGTCGTCGTGGACACGGACGAGACGGCGACCAAGGTGCTGGGCGAGCTGAGCCGCAGCAGGCTCGGGCGCCTGACCTTTATGCCGCTGAACCGCCTGCGGCCGTCGCTGGCCACATACCCAGAGGCCAGCGACGCGATTCCGATGCTCGGCTGCCTGCGGTTCGACCAGCGCTTCCAGCGCGCGTTTCAGCAGGTGTTTGGG